CAGCCCCCGGCCGGCTCTCCGCGGGAGTGCTGAGCTGCTGGGAGGTCTGCACAGGCTGGATCCGTGGGTCGAGGTCAAAGGGATGAGGTGTAGCTAGGCCAAGAGCCGGGTCACAGCAACCCCAGGCAACGCTACAGGCGTGGGGATGAGTGGCTGAAAAGCTGCCTGGTGGAAAAGGAGCGGGACGTGTTTGTCAACAGCCGTCTGGATATGAGTCCACAGCGTGCCCAGGTAGCCAAGAAGGCCACCAGCATATTGGCCCGTCTCAAAAATAGTGTGTCCAGCAGGAGCAAGGAAGTGATCATGTCCCTGGACTCAGCACTGGAGAGGCCACAGCTTGAGCACTGGGGTCAGGTTTGGGCACCACAGGATAAGAAAGACATTGAGGGACTGGAGCAAGTCCAGAGAAAGGCAACGAAGCTGGTGAGGGGTCTGGGGAACATGGATTATGAGGAGTGGCTGAGGGGCCTGGGGTTGTTTAGCCTGGAGAAGAGGAGGCTGCGGGGAGACCTTGGTCCCTACAACTCCCTGAGAGGAGGCTTCAGTCAAGTGGGGGTTGGTTTCTTCTCCCAAGGAAAAAGCAATAGGACAAGAAATGGGCTTAAGTTGCACCAGGGGTAGTTTAGATTGCATTTTAGGAAGAATTTCTTTCCTGACAGAGTGGCAAGGCCTTGGCACAGGCTGCCCAGGGAGGAGGTGGAGTCACCATCCCTGGAGGGGGTCAGCAAACATGTGGACGTGGTACTTCAGCATCCCTGGAGGGGTTCAGAAAACATGTGGACGTGGTACTTCAGGACACAGTTTAGTGGTCATAGTAGTGTTGGGTCATTGGTTTGGCTTAATGATCGTGGAGGTCTTTTCCAACCTTAATGATTCTATGAGGGAAGAATGGGACAAATAGGGCCCTTGGTCACCATGGAAGGGCAGGTCTTCCCACAGGCAATTTGGGAATGTGTTGGTCCTCTTGCCACAGCACAGCTGCAGACCCCTTCAGCCAGCCCCAGCACGGGGGCTTTTCTCTTGGGGGCTTATCTAATGCCAAGGAGCCCGTGGGAAGGGGTTTCCAGCTAGGGGGAGGGGGAATGCCTGAGGAAGACACCAGGTGCTCAGGCCTCTTGATGAGGGATTTCTCCTGTGTGGCAGACATGAAGAACATGCTGTTTATTTCTGAGTCAACAAGGAAAGGAGGTTTGCTATGCCAAAAACTCAGCCTAGGGGCACGCGCTGGCTGAGAAATGTAGTGAGCCCCAGTGAGGGGCTGGGATGGGGGGGAAAGAGGCTGGGAGTGGGGCCAGCTTTGCTCGGGGTCGGGCGCAGCTCCTCTTCTGAAGAAGCAACCACGTGGTTGTGGGGCAGAGAGAGCAGCAGCCTGTACCTCAGGGGTGTGTGGATGTCTGAGCCAGCTGAGAGGACCAGGTTCCTTTCAGAGCTCCCTTGGATCGCTCCCATCAGCCCCCAACCTTAAAAAAAAACTTCCCAGGAAGTCAGGAGAAGTATCAGCCTCACACATGACATAAATCATCCGTTCCTGCCTAGGAGCAGCCGATGCAGAATCAGAAAAACTGGGCCCCCTTGACTGGCTCTGGTGAAGGAAACCATTTAAAGGAGCGTAAAGCTACTTTTGGAGTCCCCATCCGAGGAGTGAAGTGCGGAGAGGGGTTCGGCTGCTTGAGCAGACATTATTAATACTTTACTGTACCTTTAGGGGAATTCTCTGTTTAATTCGTGGTCTTTCTGGCACACAGCTCCTGGAGCAAAGACATGACAGAGTGTGTAACCCCTTAGTGCTGGGGCTCAGGAGCAGAAATCGCTGAGGAGTGACTCTGTTGCTAATAACCCCTTTCCAGCAACCACTGCTGGGTAATGAATTTTATCAGGGACAGAAGGGACCCAACAGTAGGATCAAGGCAGTAGAAATTTTTCCGTTTGGCTTACTGGGATTAATATTGCATTTATTAGAATAAAGGGAGGTCACTGGGCTTTGGAAGGAGGCGATTGTCTCACTGCTTAAATATTGATGTTCAAGTCTAAAAATGCATTTGCCAAAGGACAGAAATTTGTAGCTAATAATTCCTAGTAAGGAGCTTTACTAAACTAGCATTAATTGTTTGGTAGAGATGGAAATTCTAGTTGAAGAGAACAGCAAATCCATGTGATTTGCAGCCTTTTTAATGGAATGATTACATAATGTCTATAAAATGAATAATTTCTCTTCTAGGACTTTATGGAGATTTGGACACTCTGCCAGACTACTGAAAAGTAATCATTTTAGGACAGCTGCATCAAATACATCATTTCCAGCAGTTTGGCTGCTGTTGGAGCAATATTCTGGCAGAATACCTGGGCTGTTTGTAAAAAGAGGTATTTTTTTTACAATGCCCGAAATGGTGGAGGAAAAAGCCAATCTAGACCTGTACTCGCCACATCCAGAAGTGCGTGGGATGACTGTGCTCAACAGAGAAGCTTTTAAAAGGACAGTTGTTGTCCCAGTTCTTAAAGTCAAGAAAGAAATTGTGAACACCGTGCTCAAGTCCCTGAAAGATACGGTACTGCAGCGGCCGGGTCTGAAGCGGGTGGTTGAGGACCCAGAAGATGAGGACAATAGACTTCTTATCCTGGATCCCCATAAAGTACCAGACTTCTCACTGGGACAGTCGGAGCAAGAGGTATTAAACCAGCTTAATATTCATCCTGAGGTGTCCAAGTATAACTTGGAGCTGACCTACGAGAATTTCAAGTCAGAGGAGATCCTACGAGCAGTCCTTCCTGAGGGTCAAGAAGTCACCTCTGGATTTAGCCGTATTGGTCACATAGCTCATTTGAATCTTAGAGATCATCAGCTACCCTACAGACATTTGATTGGTAGGTAGAAAACTCTTCTCAAAAAAAAGTAATTTGTGTATTTTGTATAGCATTTTTTGTTAGAAAGGTATCTTGACAATGATTCTACTGATAAATTGTTACTTGTACAGAGAAGACTTTGGAGTGCTTTTCCTTGCTTCATCTTTTGACCTTAAAAAGGCTTGTGCTGATGCCATGGCTGTGCACAGAAGGCACAGTTCCCTCCTCCTGCAGCAGCAATTCACAGAGCAGTGGGTCCAGGTGAAGTGTGTGCCTTAGAAAGATGTCCCATCTGCAGCCTTGCATCTAGTAGCTGAAGGGGGCCCACAGGAAGGCTGGGGAGGGACGTTTTGTGAGGGCTTGTAGTGATAGGCTATGGGGTAATGGCTTCAAACTGGAAGAGGGGAGATTCAGATTAGAAAGTAAGAAGTTCTTCACTGTGAGGGTGGTGTGACACTGGAGCAGGTTGCCCAGGGCAGTTGTGGATGCTCCATCCCTGGAGGTGTTCAGGGCCAGGTTGGATGGGGCTTGGAGCAGCCTGGCCTAGTGCGAGGTGTCCCTGCCCATGGCAGGGGGTTGGAACTAGGTGATCTTTCAGGTCCCTTCCAACCCAAACTGTTCTGTGGTTAGGGTTGTTCCAACACACGCCCACTATTGTTATTTAACTGTAAACAGCCATGTTTGTGTCTCCTGCAGGATATGATTAGGCTGTGGTTCCCTCTCTTTCAGGCCAGGTTATAATAGACAAGAACCCGGGCGTCACCTGCGTCGTGAATAAAACCAGTATCATCGACAGCACGTACAGGAACTTCCAAATGGAGGTGCTGGCTGGGGAGAGCAACATGGTAACCAAGGTAACCCTACTGTAAATTTAATATGCTGAAACCCAAAGGCATCCGCAGGAAGGATGTGATGAAGAGATGCTGTTCAGACTATTCCTTTGCACAGTGTCCTCCCTGCCACCTGCTGAGAGCATGAGGCTTGGCAGTTCCTTCTACATCATCTGTCCTGCTCTGCCAGGAGCAAACTCACAAGCACAGCGTTGATGAACTCACATTCTTTCAAGCTCACAGCCTGGATTTCAATGAGATGTATAAAAAAGCAGCTGAATTAAAGGGTTCTTGCAGAGATACTAATGACAAACTTGTAGTGGGGGCTGTTTCTCACTCTAAAGCAGCAATATTTAGTGGATTAGTTTCTTAATTTCACCGAGCCTCATACAGTGGCTGGAATAGAATATAAGACAGGGTTTAAAGCCCCTTGGCTTTGCAAATTCAGCAAGATTATCCCTATGCCTTTTTCCTTTTCTGCCAGCAGCAAGACGGACCTCACCTTGGTTTGATGTTTTTCAGGTGTAAAACACTATGTAACTGCCAAGTGTTCTTCACTTGGGCTTTCTTGTCTTTAGCTGGAAACTTGGCCACTGGTTCAACCAAAAAATAGTTTTCCTGACTGTCAGCGGTTTTTATACCATTAAAAGAGAAGGCATTAGATTACCAAATAAAAAAAGTTGAACAGTTTGGTAGAACATTGTCCTGGTTCCGTGTAAAAAGGGGTTCAGGGCAGGACCCACACGGAACAGAACTATGTACTCGCCTCTCCCCCCCGAGAGAGAGAGAGAGAGACACTTTGGAAAAAAAAATGAAGTATATTGTTTAACAAGGAACAGAAAACGAAAAAGGGAGGTAAGGAAAATAATATATACAAAGATTAGGGGAAAAATACAAAAAATAAAATATACAAAACCCTCAGATATGGTTCCAGGGTCCCACGGAGTGAAAGGACAACTTCCCTCTCCGAGCTCCAAGGTAGGAGTGAAATTAGAACCCACTTCTTGCCTCTTATCAGAGTGTGTGTGGGAAGGGGAGGGAATACAATGGTTCACCCCCACCCAGGGTCCTCCCAGTGGCTGGAAGGTCACGCCCCCATTCCAAGCCTCAAACCACAACAAACGTCCTGTACGTGCACAGAGAAGGTGTTTGAATTGTCAAGGAAGAAGTGACAATCAGATCATAGAATCATTAAGGTTAGGAAAGACCTCCAAGATCATCAAGCCCAACCATGAACCCAACACTACCGTGACCATTAAACCATGTCCCCAGATGCCACATCTACGTGTTTTTTGAAGCCCTCCAGGGATGGGGACTCCACCACCTCCCTGGGCAGCCTGCTCCAATACTTCACCGCTCTGCCAGGAAAGAAATTCTTCCTAATATCCAATTAAAACCTTCCCTGGCACAACTTCATTCCATTTCCTCTTGTCCTATCGCTTGTTCCCTGGGAGAAGAGACCAACCCCCACCTCACTCCAGCCTCCTCTCAGGGAGCTGTAGAGAACAAGACGTAGAGAGCTCCCCTCAGCCTCCTCTTGTCCACGCTGAACAACCCCAGGTCCCTCAGCCACTCCTCATTATCCATCTTCCCCAGACCCCTCACCAGCTTCGTTGCCCCTCTCTGGACCCACTCCAGCCCCTAAATGTCTTTCTTATCCTGTGGTGCCCAAACTTGCCCCCAGTGCTCAAGCTGTGGCCTCCCCAGTGCCAAGTCCAGGGGCATGATCACTTCTCTACTTCTGCTGGACACACTATTTTTGATCCAGGATGGGATGCTGTTGGCCTTGGCCACCTGGGCACCCTGCTGGCTCCTGTTGGGCACCCCCAGGTCCCCCTGTGCAGGCCACGTGCCGTGCAGTGGCACTGGCTGGTGGAGGCCGCAGGAGTGCGGGCACGGCTCCTGCCGGCAAAGCCAGCGCTGCGGTGATGGACCTGGAGCGGCTTCACTTTGGAGTCACACAGCTCAAGTGTGCTGGTGCAGTGAGCACTGTCCTGCTTCCCACCCTTGTCTGGGTAAACACTGTTTCTTTTTAGGCCCATTCTTAAGGCAGTGGTCATCCCAGAGGTTGGGTTTGGATCAGTTTCCAGGCTCTGTCACCTGGTGAGATAAAATACAGTGTTTTTTCAAGGTGAAGAACTGGCTCCCAATGGCTTTGAGTTTGGCTGACTGCTGCTGTTCTTGTGCTGTATCATTCTCAGACACTTATTTACTGTGTGGACTCTGCTGAGGAAGGTCTGAGGCATCTTCCCAAGGTCTGCTTTCAATAAAAGAGTTGTCAGCCAGCCACAAAGCTCTTGAAAAGCCTCAGATATTATTTTTTTTAATGGTCATTTCAAGTTGCTGCTCTATGTCCATCTGGTGATTGAGACATGCATAACCCAGCCCTCTGGATTGACAGCTGGAACATTCCTTAGGGCTACTTCTGATGAGCAGATCTGTTTATACAGGATTGGTGTGTACTACTAATGGGACCAACGTGGATGTGCACGTTGCCTTTTGATAAAGCACCTTGGCTTTTGGCTGCCTTAATTACCAATAGTGCTTAAACATGCCTGGGATTTGAACAGGGCGGCTGAAGGAAATGTTTTGGACTTGCAGGTGAAGGAGAACAACCTCACGTACGAGCTGGACTTCTCCCAGGTGTACTGGAACCCGCGCCTCTCCACGGAGCACGGCCGCTTGGTGGGGCTGCTGCGGCCCGGGGACGTCCTGGCCGACGTCTGCGCTGGCGTCGGGCCCTTCGCCGT